TATGGCACTTAGAAACGCCAAATTTACAAGGTAGGTTGGTCCAATAGGAGATATCGCCCCTGTGAAAGTTTGGTGACTCTAAGTCAATATTTAGGGGGGCTTTGGGGGGTATGAGTGCAATTTTTTTTGCTAAAACATGTCAAACGTTTTTCACTTATAACTTTTTACCTAGTAAAGATAGAGCAAAAACAAAAGCACCAGTAAACTCAGGGCGTCCGTGCGCATCAAATGATATACTTTGTTAGCAATTTAAGTGAACTCTGGAATTCAGTTGCCGCTAAGCTAGTCCAATTTTCCTCTGACCTTGTACCGGTTTTTGTGACCTGGTGACCTGACCTGAAAAGACTGAGACTTCAAATTTTCAGGAAAGGTGCGAAAAGGTTGCCCCAAAGGGTATGCCAAATTTGGCGGCGCTACGCGTCGCCGTTTTCACGCTATTTGCGAAAAGGGTTGCATCAACCCCGCTCTCGCCGGGCGAGGGTTAAACGCTCAATACGGAGATTATTCTTTCGGGTAAACGCGTTCGTTTTTTTAGAGGAAACTTCCTTCGGTCAACTAAGAATATCGCAGAATTGTATAGTGAGAGAAGCTGTTTGTCTCAAGTGATTGAGAGGTTAGCCCTCGTTCTTATGGTGGGTCGGATTGACCCACCCCTCAGTTTTCCGCAAGTAACTCGCGTAAAAAGTGGTTTATCGTGACGAAACTATTATTATTTCCCGGGAATTTTACACATCCTCTGAAAATTTCATGATCCTAACCCCCATGGGCCATGACTTTTGGGCCTGCGGCCTATTTCTCCAGACCATGTCAGGTCGAAACACCGATTCATTGTATGTTAGCGCATATTATCTATACGTTTCCAGACTTATTATGTCATAAAACCGAGCCAAGATGTGATGAATGACGGTAGACACATGCATTATGGTATGTGTCAAGGTCAACGAGAGTATCAGGTCAAGGTCATTACCGTTAGATGAATTTGGTTCACATTTTCGAGTTAGGCATGTTACAAGGATACTCTTTGGAGATGATGTCAAATTAAGCACCCATTTGAACATTGAGAAGTAGTTTTGGTACCAATGCAACATGTTACGAAGCTGTCTGTGGTGGTTGACACCTACGTTGGCTAGCCAGCGGGACACGCACTTGTTGATCTCACCTAACCTGACCCGACCTTCGCCAAATGCTAAAAATGGATTCAGATTCAGCGCAAAACTATGAGCCAGATACCATAAAAAAAATTGAAGTTTATTTTTTAAGTTTTTTTTCTGTCTGGTGTGTCAATATGATGAAGTCATGAAGGTACAATCTAATAATGGGTAATATTGCATGGGTCAGGTGGCCTACCATTTCTCTATTATTTTTCTTTAGTTAAAAAATCATCGTATAAGGCTATGACGAAACAAGTGGCCTAAATCCGATGAGAAACCTGGATTTGGGGTACCCTAGGTTTAGAGCAGACACTAGGGCGATGGGCGAAGAGCAGACCGTCCCCCCTCCCCAAACAAAAGTCCGTGGCGGAGCCCTTGTTGAGCAGATTATCTTGTAAGGGAAAATTAGGCGAGCTGTGCCTAATTTTGGGGAGCCATGTTCCCGCCGTTGCGTATTTGGAAATTCCGACCTCGACGAGCATCTGTGGTAGAAAACCACCACTTTGGTAGGGGAACTACTGCTGTCTGCTACCATTAAAGTAATTTTGGCTACCATTTGCACTGCATGTGTCGCTATAACTGCGACATCTATGCGTATACATATAAACCGCGACATCTGTGTGTGCTGATTCTAGTACTTAAGCGATTAGCTAGGGCACCAGGGTGGATCCAGACTTTCAGTTTGAGGGTGGGGGGACTCATGGCCGGCCCGATCCCCGGCAGTCAAAGTTGCTGAGCGGGGGGGGGGGGAGGAAGGTCCAATATGATGCCACAAAAGACATGCCTATTGCCTGTAGGTATATACGTATGTATTGGTATCAGCACTCAGCAGTGTGCCTCCTGAGATGTTAGTGATTTTTGTCGATTCATCTAGTTGACGATTTGTTTTTCGCGGATATCTTAAAAACGGCAGCGCTCCGCGTCGGTGTTTTTTTTTTTAACTTATCTAATAACTTTTAGCTTTAACTTAACCAATACCAACACGTACCAATACATACGTATATACCTATAAGCAATAGGCGTGGCATCATATTGGACCTTTCTCCCCCCCCCCGCGATCAGCAACCGGACTGCAGGGGATCGGGCCGGCCATGAGTTCCCCCACCCTTACCAGGGATGCGGAGCCGTGGAAATTTCAGACGGCTCCGACTCCGGCTCCGGCTCCGGGTGAAATGCCTTGGCGGCTCCGGCTCCGGGTGAAATGCCATGGCGGCTCCGGCTCCGGCTCAAGCTCCGGCTCCGAGTAAAATGGTCCGGCTCCAATACTCAGTACCTACATATTAAATACGGGTGGCAGAAAAAAGAAGAAGATGGGATTGGTGTACGTTGCTTCTGCATTTGCATGACAAGGCTATTTTCATATTTTGAATACCACATGTTTTACTGCCTGGAACTGCAAGTTCAAGGCAGTTCGCTTCGGTTTGACAAACCGAACTAGGTCAATATTTTTTTCCTCTTCAAAAAAGGAGCCGGAGTCGTCCCCTTTTTTGACAGCTCCGGCTCCGGCTCCGGGCTATATTGTTTCACGGCTTCGGCTCCGGCTCCGGCTCCGGCTCCGCACCCCGGCCCTGCCTCAAACTGAAAGTCTGGATCTGCACCCTGGTGCCCTAGCTAATCGCTTACTGGAATCAGCGCACACAGATGTCGCGGTTTATATGTATACGCATAGATGTCGCAGATATCGCGACACATGCAGTGCAAATGGTAGCAGATAGCAGGAGTTTCCCCTACCAAAGTGGTGGTTTTCTACCACAGATGCTCGACGAGGTCGGAATTTCCAAATACGCCCCGCCGTTACGGGTTGTGTAGTTTTTTATGTAGGAACTGGAGCGAGCGACTATTGTTATTTTCAGGTTATCGCCCCAGACGATTTGTATTGATGGTTCACGCATGTTGAGCGGCGACAGAGCCCTCTATAGATCGGGGTGTAGTGAACTACAGATTGAAATTTACTGAACAGTGAATAGTGATTGCCACTTGCACTGATACTGAAGCTGAGATATTACTGACGGCTATACTGACAGCGCAATCGGCTGTATTACCTGATCATACTGATCTATATAGTATATACCTAGTTCTATAGCCTTGGTATATACCAAAGTCGCCTATCGTCCCGCACGAAGTGAGTAGCCACACATTGACACATAATCGTGTGATGCTTATTTGCACTGCCATGAATGTATATTCGTTTGCCTGGCAGTGCCAGCCGGCTCTCTATCTGAATTCGTCTCTGGCGGTCGGCGGACTAATAAAGAAGTAATTTTCGTTGTTTAAGTGTCAGTTTATTGGGTACATGCAGTTCGTGTTGCTGTGGCTGTTCCCCTAGTGACCTGGGGCGAATTGTAAGCTGCATTGAGTTAATTGTCACTTGTATGTGTTTTCACAGTTTTCTACGGTCATCACGGTCCACACTGATCGCTGCAAGGTGTCACTGAATGATCCCAATACATATTACATACTGACCGACTAACACTTTGTGGTGAAAGAAAACCGGTGGCCAGGTCAGTTTCCAAACAGCTGTCTACATAGGGGAAGGTGACTATAGTAAGACGGCCCAGCGGGGCAAGACGGACCACCAGCCCTCCCGGCTGAACCGCTGCTGGTATCTACTGCTTTATGCACTCACTATGTTTGTTTTCCTTCGTAACAATGGCCACCTTGAGCTCATGCTGCTAGGATGCATAGCTTTTGAGTTATTCAGAAAAATGTTGTTTTTCGTCAAACCGATCTAATATAAGAGGTCTACGGGTGATTCAATTACGGCGCCTTTCTTGCATGATTAGTTTCTATTTTGCACTTAACTGTGAAGAACAAAGTTATAAACTTAGTTATAGTCACACTTTAGGAAAGGCAAGGTTTTGCAATGTTGGGCTATTTGACATATGCGTCATGATAATTACAGAATTTAGATTTGGGGCAAGACGGACCACTGTGGTCCATCTAACCCTGTGGTGGTCCATTGTACCCTGCGTATGGAAAGTTCTTTTCCAAAACATTGACACAAGTTTAAGCAAGCTAATTTTTCAGGAAGGAGTCTTTGTTGCATGTGAGCCATGCATGCAAGTGCTCAGTTAGCATGCATTCATGCCAAACGACAATCAACACACATGTTCCCAGCTTTTAGCTGCACTTCCATCACACATGAGTAAAGAATAAAGGCTCATTTTGTTATTTTACCATTCTGGTTACTTTTTCTTACAAGAGTATAAAGCAGAAGTGTAACCACATGAACGGATAGCAGGCACTGCTGGGTGGTCCGTCTTACCCCACGTTTTTTCTTGTCTGAGTTTTTGACATGTCCCTCTTTAAGAGCATCCATCACCTAGATGTCTTTAAGTTGAAATTTAGTCTTTACACGTATGTATCAACAGAGGAAGGATTGAGCATTCCGAAGAATATAAATAATATGAATTAGGAGAGCAGTGTAGCAAGATATGCGGCCTCAAACCTTAGCTGGTCCGTCTTACCCCACCTTCCCCTACGTATGTACCACCACTTCAATGTCTTGCCTACGGTGACTATAAATAGTATTGCCCAGCTCATATCGTCATAAATTTCGACCTACCCTCGAAAGTTTTCATGCGTTGTTCGAGCGGCAATTACGCGAATTGAGAGCTCGTCACAGAGCACAAATTCTGAAAAAGATAGTTCTTATTTAAAAGGTATGCTCACTAGATATTCAAGAATGTTGCTCCTAAATATTACAGTTCTAACTTCAGAAACATGGATGCTATAAATGTCGATAGGTTTCGGGAGGCTACACCGGCCGGATCGCCCACTGTGCACCGCTGGCAAAAAAAGAAGATGCCGGGGGATGGCCACTGCGCGTTAGGTGAATGCGTAAGGCCGCTAGGTACAAGTGCCGGGCGGGTGGTCGGCAACACGTACCGGGTAGATGTTGGTGGGCACCAGGTGCGCCTTCTCGGGTCGCAGCAGCAGATACTCTCCGCGGACGGGCACCAGGCGCGGCTCTGGCCCGCAGCCGGAGAGGGCGGCCAGCCGGTCGGCGTGCAGACCGCCGCAGGTGATGACGAACCGGGCGCGCTCCGGCCGCTGCCGCACACAGCCAGCCAGCGTCAGAGGGGGCGGCGCGCTACCCAATACATAACACTTCTGCAACTGTAGTGGACCTTTTGAAAGAATGTATATGTTACAGGCAATGTGTGGAATGAGGCATTCTATAGAATGCCTAGGCATTCTATAGAATGCCTGACCGACCAGGCATTCTATGGAATCCCTAGGTATTCTATAGAATCCCTGACTGCTTAGGCATTCTATAGAATGCCTGGCTTAAGCTCCCAGGCATTCTATAGAATGCCTAAGTATTTTGATTGTCCGAAACACACTTCGAAAATTAGGGGTCAGTGGCAGTAATGCTATTTGTTTACCTAATTTTCATTGTTGGCCTAGGCCGGTCGTCACCTCACACCATTTCAGGGCAATGAGCTGAGAGGAAGCGAGGGAGGTATTGGGCTATGCCGACCACCAAATGGTGCGCCGCAAGCAGCAGCTGATCCAATTCCGTTGGCACGGGAGAGCCACGGCGCAAGGCACGCGGGAGAGTCACAGGCCAACCAGTCGCTTAAACGGTTACCCTCGGAGGATTATGCTGCTACAGATACGAAGCTGCATTAGAAGAGTGTTGGCTGGGAGGGTGGACCGTAGGCTTGAATCGAAAGTGATTGCGAATGACGATGGCTTTGTTCTGATGTTAGAAATGAAGGTGAAAAATACACCAAAGGTCACATTTTATGTCGTCATAAGCACTTCGTGTAACGACTCTCAATATACATACATGGACAGCTCAACCTACACCGTAATGTCAGGGAATAACCTGAATAAATGGTTCATTATTCCACGTCTGGGCGGTGGCCCGGCCGTAACAAGAGCCGGATTAGGTGTTGTTCGATGTCCCCTTCCAGCTTGACTTCTGGGCCATGCGGTATTCGAAAGGTCGTCAAAGACTCAAAATTATGAAATTTTACTTCAGTTCTTCTTTGGCAATGTTCGAAAGGGTGCCATTTCTAAAACAATGCTAAGCCATTTTTTAGGTCAGCCCAATTTTTGTCCATTTTTGGCGCGTAGCCGTTTTCTCCAATTTGACCTTAAATCAATTCCTTAGAAGGCAAATACCTCCAAAAATGGACGATTTGTCAATTTTTTCTGTGTAATTTTTTTACCAAAGGCGTTTCCGATATTGACATTACCACCATCGTCTTTCTAGCGTTAAGATAAATACTCTGTACTCTCAGAATGAAATCCTGATACAATTTGACCTAATAAGGTCAGATTGAATACCTGACCGGAAAATTTGACTGAATGAACATTTGACTGAATGAACATAAATAGCTGAACGCAAGGTAGCCTGGCAGAAAATAATAATGTTACATGTCGGTCTGTGCTCATAATCTTATACAACATACACTTATATGTTGGAAAGATTCGTGTATTTCCTAGGCATTCTATAGAATGCCTGAAAATCAGGCATTCTTTAGAATGCCTAGGGATTCTATAGAATCCCTGGTGGGTCAGGCATTCTATAGAATACCTAGGGATTCTATAGAATGCCTGGTCGGTCAGGCATTCTATAGAATGCCTAGGCATTCTATAGAATGCCTGATTCCACACATTGCCTGTAACATATATGTTACAGGCAAAGTGAAAACTCGGACATTTTGCAAAATGCCTAGGCAATTTGCAAAATGCCTGACCGGCCAGGCATTTTGCAAAATGCCTAGGCAGTTTGCAAACTGCCTGACCCACCAGGCATTTTGCAAACTGCCTGAACTATTTTCCCAGGCATTTTGCAAAATGCCTGACATCAAACTCGCACTAGCGGTGATGTATAAGCAAGCATCATTTCTAACTGGCGCTTACAAAAGTTAATCGCTGTCAATGCGCACCAAGTGAGAAGACACTGCGTTCTCCGGGTAGCGCCGCCAAGTTCAGGTCACTGAGCCCCAGCGGCCATCGGGTGCCGAGCACCGGGCGTGGTTTCGTTGGTAAACATGCGCTCGGTACAATAATTGCGCTGTTTCTAAGAGCCCTTGGTGACTTTTTGAAAATGCTGTGGGTGGATATTGACCACAAAAGAATACTCTATCAAATTACGAAAATTTGATCGTTACACGTTTACATTATCAATCGTCTCTGCCAGAACAGTAGCCCACCAGAGCAGAATACTGGACATCGCAGCTTTTATACACACGGCTACAACTGTCAACTCCGAATATACGAAAGGTACGGAGACGGTGGCTCAAGTCCATTCAGTGGTAGTTCCATCTCGACGGAATGACGCAAGACGTAGTTTACAGATATCACGAAATTGATGCGCGGTTGGCACGGTCTGTTATGTTGTCCATTCCATGTCCCTCCTAAGTGCTGAATGGGTGTAATTTTAACGGGTTCAGCACCAGGGCATCTGGACCAGGGCGCTCGGCATCTAAATCGGCCATCCCCCGGTATCTGAAGACCTTACCATGAAGCTGAGGCCGCTAAACCTCAGGCTGCAACCCTGACTTTATACCGTCATCCAGAAAAGATGCAGCTGGATTTCGCCAAGACCCACCAAATCTGGACCATTCAGGACTACAGATTCAGACTTTTTCAGTGATGAGGCGATATTAGAGCTTTTCTAAGTCACTAACCATCCCGACAAACAGTTCTGAGCCAACAGCAGCTCAGAGGCGCTGCACCGTCGAGACAGTGAAGCATCCACTGGCGATTCTCGTTTGGGGCATGATGGGCTACATACTTTCATAGGCCTCTTTGAGCTTCACCACGTGCCGCAGGGACAGACCACGTGGCCGGTGATAACTTGTCAGCGAGGTGCTGGAGAACACTGACGCAACTACGAGCAATCAATTTCGGGACACAAGTACAATATCCCGCAACAATTTCGTAACACCCTGTATTCGTGACACCCCTGTATTTAGGCTCAGGCTCAGGCTCAGTGGAACGTTTATGGTCAACGCCTGAAGTCAACAAAAACGGTGGAATATATGGAAACTCAGGCATTTTGCAAAATGCCTGGCGGGTCAGGCATTTTGTAAAATGCCTAGGCAGTTTGCAAAATGCCTGGTGGGTCAGGCAGTTTGCAAACTGCCTAGGCATTTTGCAAAATGACTGGCGGGTCAGGCATTTTGCAAACTGCCTAGGCATTTTGCAAAATGCCCGGGTTTTCACTTTGCCTGTAACATATATACATAGTCCTATGGTGGGTCTGAGCAAACTCGGCGGGGCGGGTGGGCGGTGTCCGGATAAATTGCCGAAAGGCGATTTGCCGCATGTCATTTTGCCGAATGCATTTTGCCGATGTGCTTTTTGCCGACGTGTCAAAAGTCGAAATGCCATTTGCCGACATGCCTTTTTGCAGAAATGCCAATTTGCCGAAATCATTATTAGCCGAAATGTTAATTTGCCGAAATGTCAATAAGTCGAAATGTAATATTTTCAGGCTCGTTGTTTGTAAGGCATTTGATTATATCGTGTTTTTGTTTTACTTTAATGACCGACCTCCTTACAATGATAATGAAACTTACAATGCAAGTACCAAACTGAGCTGTATATCAAGCCAAATCATTCCGGGATTATCATTCATCAAACATCAGCGCATCCGACGAGGACAAAGCATGCCCTTATACGAGCTGAGTGTCGCCGAGCCATCAGACTGTCGTCTGACGCAGATGCTCGAGCTCGCTCCTGCCAGAAGATCCAGCAGCTGGGGCATTTCACGACAGATCGACCCAAAAAATCGCGAAATAACACCCTACCTCTCCAATTTCAATGAACTTTTGGCTAAGGGGTTATCTAGTTAGCCCAGCGATTCGTATTGTAACATTTTCAATCACATCCGTCGAATACTTTGGGAGATATTGCCCCAGGCAACTTAATGACTAGCATAAAAAATATAAATTTCATCCGCGGATATTTAGCTAAATACTCATTAGATTCATATAAAACTGCATATCCCCACAATTGAAATTAAACAAAGATTTTTGCGATATCAATTATTTTGGAAAATTTTCGATGTTCTTTTTTACATATCATCCATTTCTAAAAATCAAACTTTGTGAATGCGGCCATCTTTTTCTTGCAATTTATTTTTGCATATAATCAAGTAAAGTAACCGTACTCTCATAGTTAATATCCAAAATCGTAAGAAAAAGGCCTGATAATTCCGAGGAGCTTTCGGCTTACGCCTTCTTCAACTCGCTCCTCTACTTTATTTTCCTTTTTGGCGCAAACACATTGAAATTCAAATCGATAGCAGCTGCAGTTAGGCACAGGCACTTCTCCAAAGGGTTTCATAACTTTGGAGCATTATAAAACATAATTATATAATACATTACCAAACATAATAGATACAGTTACAGAATATTTCCTTACATAGGCTGCAAAGTACAAATATATTCACAATGAAACTAATACCGCCTGATTAAACATTTTCGCCGAACAAGGCAAGCCTGGGTTAAATAAATACATAATTCAGTGACAGTTCTACCTAATTCAATACGAATTTTACCATAACCTGACGATTTGCAAAACAAAAACACGAAAACGTGCACATACAGGGGTGTGCGCTAGAAGCCGGAAAAAAAACTAAGGGAATGAACTGAAGGCGTTTATTTGGTATCGCAAGGTTTCACTTCAAAATTTTTACTTTTTTATCGAAGACTGATCCCTCCTCTATCCTATCGTTCGACTCAACCCCCTCCAGCTCCAATCACAGCCTCCACAGGACGCCGGAACCTGCCGCAGGCGTTGGTGACCTGCTCCCGAAATAAGTTGGCCACGGCCTGGATGAAGGCGGTGCTCAGGGAGTCGAAAGTGTTGTGAGTTCCTTTATTGGACTCTCTCTCAAGGACGCCCCAGAGAAAGTGGTCGCACGGACACATAAAATCTTCTGGTCGGGAAAGAAGCTGCTCTGGCCGGTGGCTCTGTGCTCCAAAGAAGTGATGATCAGCTAACATCTCCGAATCTCCTGGTCTTTATGACTTCTGAGAGCATCTGCCTCACCTCGAGAACGGTGCTCATGATATCGGAGATCCTCG